ACCTCTATGGTCTCTCACCTCTCTAAGTACTTTTTTATCTATGACACTTAAAAAAATATTTGCTCTTACGTTTAGCTCTTTAATTTTGACTTAATTATGTTATATAAAAGTCTCTTGATCTTACACATAAAACAGTTCCTATACATTCTTAGTACTTGTTTTCTATCAACCCTGTCTGATGTTATTTATTAGGAGTAAGTTTATACACATAGGATGATTTCAACGTTTTGGAGGAGAAAGTCTGAAATTAATTAAAATGTAAAAAATAAGCTATTTATTCTTACATGAGAGAGGCGTAATATAATACAAAGAGAGAGAGAGAGAGAGAGAGAGAGAGAAGTGCCAACAGGGTCTTCCTGCTGTGATCCTGTTCCTCAGCCTCAGCCAACCAGGATCATGGGCACATGCCTGCACTTGGCACGCACAGGGAAACCTTAAGAGGTGAACCCAGACCTTCCCACGTGGCCTGAGCTTTGCACTACTGCTACATGCAAGCGTCACCACCACAACTGGCCCAGAAGTTAATTTTTTTTTTTGCTATAGGGCACATGTGCTTGCCAGAAAGACAGGGACAGAGAGACAGAAAGCCAGAAATCACCCCCCAGGGGGGATGGCCATGCTGCAATCCTTCTCCTCCATTCTCCTCTTGGGATCTTGAGCACGAACGCACATGTGCCTGGCATGAGTTTAAGCCACCGGGTCTAGGACTTGACCCACAGTCAACTATATGGGAGTCCAGTGATGTAGCCATTATGCCATCTGCTGGTACCCAGAAATTAATTTTAAGCTATTTTGTTTAGCATTTGTGACTTATTGGGGCTGGCAGGTGGCATAGTAGTTAAGGGCTCTGGATTCCCACATGGCTGACCACAGTCTGAGTCCTGGACCTGGCGGCTTGCTTTCTCACTTTTTCTCTCTCGTTCTGTTCCTCTCTGGTCAAATGGAAATAAACAAATGAATAACTAGATAGGGTTAAATAAAATAATTAAAAAAAAATTTGTCTTATTTTTTGTTGTCTGTATTTCCCAAATTTTCTTTTATAACAAAAATCTACTTAAATAGGAAACTTTCGTGGAGCCAGAATTGAGGGGTATATGCTTTCCATATATTACATATATTCTATTACATATATCCCATTATATATCCTATCTATTACATATATCCCATCTATTAGTATAATGTGAAATAAATTTGCAACAATTTATTCCATTGTTGCCTCCTAATTGTATAATGTGAAATAAATTTGCAACAATTTATTCCATTGTTGTCTCCTAATTTTCCTTCCGAACTCATTGTAATTTCCTACTAAAAGGGCTCAAGAATTAGATTCAGTTCACACAGCTCTTCAAGTTTGTCCCGTAGAAATTAATCTGTGAACATTACAATTGTTAACTAAGGAAAAAAGGGCTTGTTACAAACTGATTTTTTTCTACTGACACTAATTTTTCTCATGTTTGTTTGTGACGTGTGCTGTATGTAAAAACGTGGTATTTTCAAGCATTATGCAAGTGTCCTGCCCTAAGGGTTTGCCCTATGCCAGACTTCTGTCTACCCTGGCCTTTTCTGAGCGCCTCGATCCTCAGGCAATCCCCGTGGCACTTTTTATCTGATCAAGATTATGAAATAATCTTTTTTTTTTTAATTGCGTCTGCTCTCCCATGCTTGTCCTTCAAGGCACAGGCCGCCACTGTTTCCCAGCGGTGAACAGCCGTCGCCTAATGATACTTGCTTAATTAATAATAGTTCCGTTAAGTGAATTCGGCGTTTTCATTTAGCTCAGGCCATTCAGCAGTCGGGTGGAACTTGACTTTTGACTCTGCCTGTTCGCCAGACTCTGACCCCAAGCTCACCTGTTCCACTCAGATTTTTGTTCCAGAAGCGAAGGGCTGGAGAATCACCTCCCAACACTACCCTGCGGCGTCTAATGGGGGTACCAGGCCCCGCGCGCCTCTGCCCGCAACGCGCGCGGAGGACGCCGGCCACGTGACGCCAGCGCGCAGGCGCGCGGG